CTCCCCCTTGCCGGGGACAGGCCGCCTGCAATAAAAAAAAAAAAAAAAAAAAAAAAAAAAAAAAAAAAAAAAACTGCTCCAAAAAAAAGAAGCTATGTGGCATTTGGCAAGTCACTTAATCACTCAGAACTTCATTTTCCTAACTGGAAAATAAGAGGGTTGAGCCAGATATTTTCCAAGGTTCCTTAAAACTCCAAAATATTTCCATGTCCTCCTTACCATTATGAGGATAGCATTATTTATGAAACAAAAACTATAGGTTTGACAGTGAGTAAACATACTTAATTTATACATATGGAGTAAACAATTTGGATATCTTTGTATCTTTTCACATCATTTTTCTATTGAAAAAAAAAAAAGGTCAGTTGATGGCATAGTGGATTGAGAAACATGCCAGGCATGTATACATTTGTGTCCCAATCCCAAAGCAAAGGAGAGATGCAGAGAAAAAACTGCAACAAGGCGATTATGCATGGGAAGATGCTTTCTTACTTTTTTTCTTTCTCTTTCCAGTGAACTCACATGCCATCTGGCAAAATTTTTTAAAAAAATTAAGAATGAATACATTAATTGGTTCTCTTAGCTACTACTTTCTCTTCTTCAGACTCTCTGCTTACTATTTGGTGCTTCTTTTTGGAGTTTCCCAAAATTTCACTGTTAAGAATAATTAACAATGGACAATCTTCTTCGTATCTAATGTTTAAAAGTTTTAGCTTTATCGATGCTGTGGGATAGGAAACCTTCAACGCAGAATGGTTCTTCCACTTGGAAGAATAGAATGGTTTGGAGAACTGATTCAAATGAGTACCATGTCATATATTTTTTTGCTTTAAAGGTAAACTATAAGAATATTTTGTTTGCTGAGAAAGTAAGAGGAGATATACAGTTCCAAATAGAGCATAAAAAAGTTCTTCTAAGAATATGTCCCGTAAGCAGTTATTTGGGCTTAAGAGAATGTGCCAGACTATTTGGGTTTAAGTTTCAGCTCAGCCTCTGACCAGATGGACAAGCAAGCTATTTAGCCTTTCTGTGCCTCATTTTTCTCTTCTGTAAAATGAGGATGACAAACCTCTAGGATCATAAGGTTAAAATGAATTATTACATGTCAAGTACTCAGAACAGGTCTTTGTACATATTAAGTGTTCAAAATATTGTTAGCTACTATTACTATTGAGCACTTACAGCCTCCTGGGAAAATATTTTAAAAAGAAAAATTACTCATGAAGCTACATGATGGTGGACATTAAGGTTTTCTAGATTACTGAATGATTTGAGGTGAGAGTTTAATTTTGTTGTCTTTGATAATTACATTTGTAGAGATGACAGACATTAAAAAATATTCCGTTAACAAATGAGGACTTGTTCCTTTGCTTTCCTTTACAAACAGAATCTGCTTGAAGCCTGGGTTTAAAACTTCACATCCACTATATGAAGAACTAACCTGGGAAGTGGTAGTGTTGATTTAAAAAGTTTACTGACAAAGTCCAGCTAGTGGTGTGGTGGTTAAGGCAACTGGATCACAGATGGCCAACTGCATGGTTCAAGTCCCAGCTCTAGTGGCTTGAAAACCAAACCAGGGGGAACCAGCAGTTAGTGTAATGGCTATGTTGCTGGACTCCCATGTAGTCGACCGCAGTTCGCGTCCTAGACCCGGTGGCTTAAAACTCACGCCGGACACATGTGTGTGCATGCCCAAGATCCCGAGAGGAGAATGGAGGAGAAGGGATTGCGGTGTGATCATCCCCCCTGGGGGTCGATTTCTCGCTTTCTGTCTGTCTCTGTCTGGCAAGCGCACGCGCCCTATAGTGAAAATCTCTCAAAAAAACAAAAAAAAACAAACACCAAACCAGGCATGTGTGTGTGCATGCCCAAAATCCTGAAAGGAGGAGGATAAAGAAACTGCAATGTGACTATCCCCCACAGAGAGTGCTTTCTCATTTTCTCTCTCTCTCTTACTCTCCAGTAAGCACACATGACCTCTAGCAAATTAAAAAAAAAATTTTTTTCTAAGGGAATTAAGATAGTTTTAATACACGAAGGAGTCGGTTTAACTGCCCTACTTTAATCATTTAATAATCATCTTTAATTGTTTAATAATATTTAGAATAGGGTATAAATGTGAAGGTTTAAACACTCAGAGTGTGATTTTTTAATTAATTATATATTTCTTTTTCCATATTATGTGATGTTTATAAATAGCTGCCAGATACAGATACAGACTTCCATATAGTGGAATACTGAGCAGCCATGTAAGGTGACAAACACCTGTATTTGCTGTCTTGATGAAGGGATTCAATTTTGTAAAAGGACCACCCAAAACACTGTAAATTCAAAATCTAAACTACAAGCATAGACAATGATCTGGGAGAATATGACATATTCAAAATGTTGAGAGTAGTTAGCTCTGTCTGAGGGAGTAACAGATAATTTTCTATAATAAATATGTATTTCTTATGCAATTCAAACCTTACAAGTGCTAAAAAATGAAAAATCTTAACAAATTAAAGTGGCTTTGTGCTCCACATGGTTTCTCACCTAACTGCAGTGTGGCAGCCAGCAGAGCATGGATATAGACTGCAAACTGGGCCCGGATCCATTCGTCACCTCCTTCCCAGCCTGTGCCATCCAGAAAGACATCATCCCGGTTCTCAGTCACGTGTCTCACTAGGTAATCTGCGAACCTTAGGTCTGCAGTGGTTGGGTTAAGCAGCTTCCTGAGTTCTGGATCATGGATCTGGATCAGAGCTTCTTCTACCTACAGGGTGCCCAGGTATAAAAGTCAGTTTGGGCATTCACAAAGATTTCCATGCCACACTGTATAGAATAACTACTGGGAAGTTGGAACTGGAAATAAAAAATATGAATTACAGCATTTTCAAAAGTTGAGCCTAGGGACCAGCAGTTGGCATAATGGCTACATTGCTGGACTCCCATGTAGTCAACTGCAGTTCAAGTACCGGACCCAGTGGCTTAAACTCACGCCAGGCATGTGTGTATACGTGCCCAAGATCCTGAGAGAAGAATGGAGAAGGGATTGCGGTGTGGCCATCCTCTAGGGGAGTGATTTCTCGCTGTCTCTCTTTCTTTCTGGCGAGAGCACACACCCTATAGCAAAAACCTCTAAAAAAAATTTAAAAAGCTGAGCCCAAGAAACAGGTTTTACACTGAAACTTTTTCTTTATCAATTTAAAAAAATGCTCATTTTCTGTTTGTAGAAAATACATGAATAATATAATTTCAAATTATAAAATTAATTCATGAAGGTTGTACTTTATTTTACAGACAGTTCTCATGATCCTCTTGCCTCAAAGTCCCATAGGTGTGTGCCACATACCTAGCTCCTTTGTTAACAGGATTTTGCCTACATTGTCAAAGCTACCCTTGAGTCTGTGACCCTCCAGCTTTAGTTTCCTAAGTAGCCAGGACACAGGTACATGCCATTACACCTGGCCTTTAGGATGGACTGGGAATCTAACTGGGACCTTCCATGTGGTACCAGCCTGTGGAGTGCAGTTTCTTAGCAGATTGTGCCACTACAGTTGGGCTAACTGCAAATATTATGAAAATATAGAAATTTGTATATATTAAACATCATTTTTATCTCATCACTAGAAATAAATGAATTTAACCAATAATAATTCCTTGCAATTTTTTATGTTGAGTACAAAGATATGTACAATACTTTTACTATATAATATTTGACACATAAAGAAATAGAGGTAACTTGCAAGTTTTTTTTTTTTTTTTTTTTGAGAGGTTTTCGCTATAGGGCGTGTGCACTCAAGAAATAGAGAGATAAACAGACAGACAGAAAGTGAAAAATCACCCCCCTGGGGGATGGCCACACAGCAATCCTGTCTCCTCCATTGTCTTCTAGGGATCTTGGGCATGCACACACACGTGCCCAACGTTAAGTTTAAGCCACCAGGTGCAGGACTCAAACCACAGTCCACTACATGGGAGTCCAGCGACATAGCCATTATGCCAACTGCTGGTCCCAGTAAGTTGGTTGAAACAAAAACCTATGAACCTGGCAACCAGCTTCAGAACTAGCATGTATCCAATAAAGATGAAGTACCTTTGTGCTCTTTCCACCCATATCCTTCTGTCTTGCTGGGTACTTTTTTTCTTTATAATTGGGATGATATAGCTTTGAATTCTCTATTTTTAATTTATTATATTGTAACACATTTTGGTACCTTCTGTCAGAAACTTATAAAAGTTCAGTGTGCCTGAACTATCTTTTCTCTTTTCTTCAGGCTTTTGTCTTAAAGTGTACTGTATGTGCTAGCCAAAAAGAGACAGAGAGGGAAAGTAAGAAATCACCCCTTAGGGGGATGGCCAAACTGCAATCCCTTCTCTGAGGATTTTAATCATGTATGCACACACACTGGGCTACCATGTGGGAGTCCAGCACCTTAACTACCATGTTTCCTGTTGGACCCACTATCTTTTAAAGATTTATTTATTTTTGACAATCAAATCAGAATTTTACATTATTTGATCTGTTAAATGTTTGTTTCTAAATTACTTCAATTGTGAAATTAAATAATTAAAATGTCTTATATTTGTCACGATGTATTTTTTTTTTCTATGCAAAACTATGTCAGGACTTTTCCAACAACCCAATACATTAATAAAGTATCACATATTTATTCTTAGCTTCCTTCTTGATTTCAGGAGCATATTAAACAGGCTAGGTGGATTTAAATTAAACAATAAACGCATTTTATTTAATTGTAAAATCATGGCAGGCCTGGAATGCCCAAGGTGAAAGCCTGGCTCACCCATTTACTAGCTGTTTAGTATTTATGCAAGTCTCTCTCTTCTTTGGCTTCCACAAGTATAAAATGTGGACAGTAACAGTACCAACTCCCACAGATGTTATAAGAATTAGATCAATTAACATACGTAAAGTACTCAGAATGCCTGGTATACAGTAACCAATTATTATTGGTGATGTTATTACACCTTCATAATTGCATTTAAGAAAGGAAAAAAGGAATAACTTTTTTCAGTTCTGTCTGTTATTCGTATATAGAAATGCTATCAATTTCTGTATATTGATTTTATATCCTGCAATTTTACTGTAATCAAGTATTACTTCCAGTAATTTTTCCATGTAGATCATTGGGTCTTCTTTGTATAATCATGTCATCTGTGAATAGAGACAGTTTCACCTCTTTTCCTATTCGAATGTCTTTTATTTTTTCCTCTTTTCTGAATTGTATGTCCCCACTTAATATATACTGAGTGTCTGCACTCTAAGACTGAAACTGATTAACTAAAGGTTGTACAAACACAAGAGATGGGTATGAATGCCAGATGTGGTGTGTGTGGAGGAGTGGGGCCTAAGGAAGGACATTTGGAAGAGGGACATGGAGGCAGAGAATTGATGGGATGGGGAGGTGTGGTATTAACTGTTGAAGATATTTTGATCAACTGGACTGGGGAGAAATGTTCACATATTGAAATGTTCACTTTGTAAGTTAAACAATGTGGTTGAATGTATATAATTTTTTAAATTAATTTTAAAAAGAAACAAACAAAGGAAGTAGCAGGGCCAAGCACACATACTCATACATGACGTACTTCCACAATGGCATCATTGAGGTGTTTCTGTTGTCGAAAAAGGATGTTAGTAGCTCCAGCAACAAATCCTCGAACAGTAACATCAGAGAGAAGGTGGTGCTGCTGCAATGCCATGTAAGGCAAACATAGATATCCCTATGAATTATAAAAATAATGAAAAATATTAGAAATGTAAAAGAATAGCTATCTCTCTTTTTAAGCCTCTAGAGCTAATGGCAAGAAAAGAAATTCTCATTACTCCCTGTCCTATCCCCAGAGTAGCTAATGTTTGACTCACTCAAGTAGTATTCCAGGGGAACCTCAGATAGTGACTGCAATAAATATAATTAATGACTAGCTAATCTCCATGAATGGTCAAATCTTGATCAGGTGACATAAAATGAAGGCTGTCTTGATTACTTTTTAAAAATATTTTATTTGGAAACCAGCAGTTAGCGTGATGGCTATGTCGCTGGACTCCCAGGTAGTCGACCGCGGTTCGTGTCCCGGACCCGGTGGCTTAAAACTCATGCCGGGCGCATGTGCGTGCGTGCCCAAGATCCCGAGAGGAGAATGGAGGAGAAGGGATTGCGGCGTGACCATCCCCCCTGGGGGGTGATTTCTCGCTTTCTGTCTCTATGTCTCTCTCTGTCTGTCTGGCGAGCGCACGCGCCCTACAGTGAAAATCTCTCCAAAAAAAAAAAATTTTATTTGACATGGCGTACATGCACTCACTGGAGAGAGAGCACTGCTGAGAATGACAGAGAAAAAGACATTTCTTTCTTTTTTTTTTGGGGGGGGGAGAGGTTTTTGCTATAGGGCGTGTGCACTCTCCAGAAAGACAGAGAGAGACAGAGAGCCAGAAAGCCAGAAATCACCTCCTGGGGGGATGGCCACACCGCAATCCCTTCTCCTCCATTCTCCTCTCAGGATCTTGTGCATGCCCACACATGCGTCCAGCATGAGATTAAGCCACCGGGTCCGGGACTCGAACCTCGGTCGACTACATGGGAATCCAGTGACAGCCATTACGCTAACTGCTAATCCCAAAGACATTTATTTCTTTAATGAGAGAGACAGAGACAGTGACAGAGACAGAGAGAGGTAGCCCTTTATGATATGATCTACCTCTAGCCTCAGGCAGCCTAGATCATGGGCACATGTGTGTGAACCTTGTGTGTGCAGAGGCTCTGAAATGCTAACCTGGGACCTTCCCACATGGGTCCAGTTGTATTACTGCTGTTCCACTGACTAGCAGAAAGAAAATTTTTTTAATTCTTTTTATTTCTTACATATAAAGTCATTTCCCCTGTCCCTTGAACTCTAAAAATCACATTTATTCCATTAGAGATTGAAATAACAAAAAGAAATATATTGATGTAACTTTTTTTTTCCCCCAGCGGTTTTTTTTTGTTTTCTTTTTTGTTTTTTTTTTTAAATTCTCAATGGAGAAACAGAACAAAATCGTAAGTTGGAGCCAGGGAGGTAAAAATACACATGAAATAGAAAACAGTCTCCCGTCACCATCTCCCACTTTCAAATACTATTTTTTATGGAAGTTATTTTACTGGGACAAACAGAAGATTAAGTTGAAGTCTCTTACTTTTATAAAACAGGGAATCAAATGTTTGCTTATCATTAAATAAAAAGCAGCAAAAATCCCTCCCCTATAAACATAATTCTACACTTATATCAATATTTTACCAATAAAAGATAGCTGGGAGAAGGGGAGAAAGAGCTGGCTAGAAACTGGTGCCAAATGAAAGTGCAAGTGTTAGTGCTTTTTCTGAACTCTTGCTGAAAGTAGCATTTTCCAGTATTTTTTAAAAAAATGATTACTCTGAATTCACCAGGGTTCTATGACCCCAATTCATCACTCTTTTCTTGTTTCTTCTTCCCACTGACAAGAAATACAAGGGAAGCACAATCTTGTTGAGCACAACCTGGGAAGAAATGGGGTTGGACTTCAGGATGGGAAGAGGGTGAAAAAGCTAGCTAGCTACCTACTACACTGGCTTGGGAGGTAGGAAATGACCACATCCTAGTTTTAACAAATATAAACAAGGAACAAAATCATTTGGCAGTTCCATTTTAAATAACAGCTATACACATTTACTTCATTGATTAAAGCCTTTATAATAAATAATAGAATTAAATCAGAATTTTAAAAAATTTTACTTGGAAAAAAGTGAAAAACAAAAACCTTCAAAACTAGAGTGTAGCCCTCTTAAGAATGTCAAATGTGCATTCAAAGTACTAGAAAGCAGGCAATTTTAACAAAAAGCAATGTCACTACAACATATGAACTGCAGTTATTAACAGAAAGTTCTAAAATGTAAAGATGCTCATGGAAACCAGCAGAGAGAGGATCCACTGGCAAGGATGCAGAACGGTAAGCAGGTACTTTGGAAATAAGGCTCAGAGATGAAGGACACTGATCCCAGATCTGAGGTGGACGTGTGGCCAACTATCTCGGCTCCATGGAGAAAAATACAACCAGTGAGATTCGAGGAGAGAGTGCTGCTGCAGCCCCAGGCAAGTCTAGTTTCCACTCCCAAGTAGATGCACCTTTGAGACTTCAGCAAGGTCTCCTCAGGACGATTTACTTTCCAATGTGTAGTAACGAAACAGGAAATCTAAGACAACACCACCAACGATGGGGAAAATCCAATAAAACCAGCAGCTTTCACACGAATTCTCTTTTGAAGGATCCCTGCTACCACCTTCAGGCTTAAGGTCACTCGGATGGACAACATCAATATAGTACTGCTTGAGCATTTCTCTGGCATCAGAAGAGTGGCCTACATCTTCAAAGCTTTCACTTGCATCTGCACCAACTTGTTCCAGTAGAACCTTTTCTCCACCAGGATGCTCGATGAGGAAGCGGGTGATATCGTAGATTCATCCGTGGATCACCAGCCATATTTCCTTTGAGGAGTTGTGCTTTGCCACCTCCTCCAACCTGTAGTAGGTGACAGAGGTCTTGAGTCCCTACCCTTTCCCACCGCTGCCACTAGCTTCCATTGCTGCCATTGTTCCTGAGATGCCAACTCGCCTCCACTATCTGGGTTTCTGCACCTAACTTTCTGGAAAAAGCCTGATGTAATTTCTTTTTTTAAAAAGAATTATTTATTTAATTTTATTTATTCATTCATTTATTTTTAATTTGACCAGAGACAGAGAGAGAGAGAGAGAGAGAGAGAGAGAGAGAAAGAACACCACCAGGTCCGCGACTCGCACGTGTTCAGCCATGTGGGAGTATCCAGCTCTTTAAACACACCAGCTGCTGGTCCCAAGCCTGATGTAACTTCTAATCAGAGTTCCATGTATGGCAAATCAACCAATTTTACTAAATAATGACTATCACCTTGTTACTGGAAAAGACAACGGAGAAAGCTGATTCATGAGGTTAAAACCAGTAAGAGGCCAGCCTGTGGCCTAGTGATTAAGGTTTCTGGATCCCACATGACTAATCACATGGTTTGAGTCTTGGATCTGGCGAAAACAGGCTGGGTACATGTGTGTGCACACCCCCAAAATCCTGATGGGAGGGAGAAATATAGAATGGATTGTGGTGTGACCATGCCTCATGGAGGGTGCTTTCTCTCTGTTCTCACTCTATGTCTCTCTCTAGTGTGCAGACATACCCTCTGGCAAAATTAAAACAGCAACAACAACAGCAAGAATATGAACTCTCAGGGCTCATCCTCTCTGGCCAGTCCTAATGTTCAGGCCAAGTGCTCTCTTCCAGTGTTAGTCGGTTGCAAAACAATTTTATAACAAGGTAGGAAAACATAAAATCAAGGGAAAATGGAAGAAAAGTCCTCACAATTATCTTTCTATGTCTAAAAACAGCTACAACTTCTACTCCTTCAACATTTCTTTGGGGGCCAGCAGGTAATGTTGTGGTTAAGGCACTGGTCTCCCACATGGCTGACAGCAGTTCAAGTCCCAGATATGGCAACTTCCTTTCTTACTTTCTCTCTCTTTGGTGAGCATACTTGCCCTATAGCAAATAAAAAAATAGTAACAATAATAAATACAATTAAATAAATAGTTATTTAAAAAATTTCTTCTCTCACTATAAAGTGTTGTAATAGCTAAAAGTATTAATATCATACAGGCACAGGCACAATTTCATTTTCTAACCTGCTACTTCTCCTTTTGGTCTTTCCCCCATTTCCTTCCCATCATCCTATGAGTAGCCTACCCCACACTTCCTCATCAGCATGCTCTTTCTTGGGTACCATTCCTAAACCAGTTCTTAGGAAAGGTTTAAGAATATTTCAGAACCTAGTGTCTACAGTACTTACACAGTAAGCCTTGTCTCTAAGACTGATATGAAAGGTGACATCCTCAAGCAAGTTCAAGTTCAGAGAGAAGACTGGAAAGCAAGAGAATTAGGGAATCTTTCAAAATAATTGTTCCATTATATAGAAATTTGTTTCCCTTTACTCATGTGCTAACTTCCGTACTTCAGCAATACTCCTCCGCAGGCATCCAGGCTTCTCACTGGTTTTTGAAATTACTTTTCAAGATGCTTTGCTAACCTAATTCCTTATGTACATGCATTTTTAAGTGTAAAGGCAATACTTCAGTTTTAAGAATATTTTATATTTCAAAGTTATTGACATTAAAGAATCGTTAAAAACTGTGATCAAAGAAATTAGATTTTAATCGGTATATAATGAAACATAAAGCCAAAAAGAAAAAAATCTTATTTGCCATAATAATGGTATAAGCCCATGATGTGTATGTATGTATGTGTGTGTGTGTGTGCGAACCGCAGTCAACTACATGGGAGTCCAGCGACATAGCCATTACACTAACTGCTGGTACAAACCCATGATATATTTAGTATTGGTATGAGACACACAAACGCAATACTTTGCTAAACACAGTTGATTGACAGGACACAAAATATATCTTTACATTGCATTGTTTAATTCAGCAATCTGACAGACAAAACCAACCCTCCCAGTTAATTTCCCTCCTGACAGGTCCATAATGATAAAAATTAAAGGGTGAGTGGGTGAAATAGTAACAGCTTTCAAAAAGTACAGGAAGTCTCTACACCTGGTTCAGAAAATATTCAATTTGGGACCAGCAGTTGGCGTAATGACTATGTCACTGGATTCCCATGTAGTCGACTGTGGTTCAAGTCCCAGACCTGGTGTCTTAAACTCAAACCAGGGGCGTGTGCGTGCATGCCGAAGATCCCAAGAGGAGAATGGAGGAAAAGGGAATGCAGCGTGGCCATCCCCCAGGGGGGATGATTTCTTGCTTTCTGTCTCTCTGTCCTTCTGGCGAGCACACGTACCCTATAGCAAAAACCTCTCAAAGAAAAGATTTGATTTGTGGCTTTTGATTGCACTCAGTAGTTTGAGTGATTTAAGTTTCTCTTCAGGTACTTAAATCCCAGTTTTAAGGAACTCTGCATTAGCTTAATCATGAAACCAGTTACAATAATTCCAGAATCTCCAGTGGATCTTAAAATGAACAAAGATAGCATTCTCTGTTAAATACAGACAAACACTGACTCTCAGCAAGTAATTTTTTGCCAAGCTGGATAAACCCAAAGAGGAGTTTAATGAAGAGTCTAACAGAGGAGGAAATACAATGTTCAAGTTAATACTACCATCTTTCTTTTCCATATGAGGGTTTACTTCCTGGATAAAAAGATGAATGGTATTTAGGGGAAAACATAATACTTTGTTCTAGTTACTGGAAAAGCTGTCTTTCTTTCATGGTAGACTACAAGAGTATGTATGGCATGAATTTAGAACCAGGAGTCAACAGTGGCATGGTGGTCATTGAGGTGCTGGACTCCCATGTGGCTGACTGTGGTTTAAGTCCCAAACATGGTGGCTTGCTTTCTCACTTTCTCTTCTCTTTCTCTGATCAAATTAAAAAAAAAATAAAAAAGAAAAGAAAAACCTGGTATGGTGCTTGACACATAAGAGGGAAATAAATACTTGTAGAATAAGGAATAAAATGGAATTTCATTTTTCTGCTCCATTTTGAAAAATAATTCACAAATAGCAGTAGAACAGTTTTTCCTGATAGGATGAAAAACAAAAATGTCTAAATAATTCAGTTTCTAGACTGTCTTGACATCAATGTAACTTTTGTCTATGGCACCATCTTAATGCAATGTATTACTGACATTAAGAAATGATATTCTGGGATCTGCTGATGGCCACAAGGTTACATTGCCAGACTCCTAGGTAGTCCACCATGGTTTGTGTACCAGACCCAGAGGCTTAAAACTCATGTTGGGCACGTATCCATGTACCCAAAATCACAAGAGAAAAATGGAGGAGACGGGGATGTAGTGTGGCCAACTCTGCTGTAGGGACTAATTTCTCACCACCTCTCTGTCTCTTCGATAGCTTTTCAAAATCTCTCTTAAAAAAATAAATAAGGGACCAGCAGTTGTCATAAAGGCTATGTCACTGGACTCCCATGTAGTAGACTGTGGTTCGAGTTCCAGACCCAGTGGCTTAAACTCACGCCGGGTGCATGTGAGTGTGTGCCCAAGATCCTGAAAGGAGAATGGAGGAGAAGGGATTACAGTGTGTTCATCCCCCCAGGGGATGATTTCTCACTTTCTGTCTCTGTTTCTCTCTGTCTTTCTGACAAGCGCACACGCACTATAGCAAAAACCTCTCCAAAAAATAGATAAATAAGTAAATAAATACATAAAAAATAAGGAAAGAAGAAAATGATATCCTGGGATTGGTCTCACAACCTGGTAGTTGAAGGAATTAGACTCCTCACTGTTGAACATGATACAAGTTTTGGCCCTGGACTCCCACATGGTAGGCTGCAGTTCAAGTCTTGGACCCAGCAGCTTGAAACAAACACCAGGTATGTGTGGGTGCATGCCCAAAATTCCGAGAGAATGGAGAAGGGATGGCGGTGTGACCATTCCCTGGAAGGTGATTTCTCATTTTCTTCTCTCTCTTTGGCTAGCACACACACATAATAGCAAAAACCTCACAAAAAATTTAATTAAAACTTAAAAAGAAAACGAATTAAAAATCAGCAGATATGGAGTCAGCAATTGTTATTACTGGGTCTGTTTTTTGCTTCTCATTTTTTTGTCAATTAAGCATACTTTTATTTGTTTTTTCTTTATCTTTTCCCCTCCCCTCCCTTCCATACTAAAATTTTTCTTCCCACATTTTATTGATTCACAAAAGATCTTAAACTACAGGACCAGCAGTTAGCGTAATGGCTATGTTGCTGGACTCCCATGTAGTCGACCACGGTTCAAGTCCCGGACCCAGTGGCTTAAAACTCACACCAGGCGCATGTGCGTGCGTGCCCAAGATCCCGAGAGCAGAATGGAGGAGAAGGGATTGTGGTGTGGCCATCCCCCCTGGGGCGTGATTTCTCGCTTTCTGTCTCTCTGTCTCTCTCTGTCTGGTGAGCACACGTGTCCTATGGCAAAAAAAACCTCTCAAAAAAAATAAATATATATAAGATCTTAAACTAAAAATATAGACAAAGCTAGAATCTAGTGACAAGTGCACTGTAATTTTCTTCTAAAACATTTTTTCTCTCTCCATTCCCCTTTTTACTAAAGAAAGGTATACATTATTTGCAAAAAAAATTAGGTTAATCTCAATTTAGTCTGTAATTTGCACAAAATCCCGTAAGAATTCAATTTCTGATGCAAGGCAATAGATACTATTGTATTATTGAACTTATGAAAATAGCCATTCTATCACAAAATAATGCTATTAAATATTTTCCAATTGCAAAGAAAATTTACTTAAAAATTTATTTATTTAATTCTATTTGTTATTTTTATTTTTTAATTTAACCAGAGAGAGAGAGAAAGGGAAAGGATAAAAGCAAACAGGGAACCCAGTGCCTTTAACCACCATGCCACCTCCCGGCAACCAGGTTTCTTTTGGAAAAAAAAGATAAATCAAGGAAGTCTAGTCTTGATTCTTGACTGTGCTTAATGAATGTATATTAAATGCTGTAGCCAAAAATCTACAATTTTTTTGATCTATTAAATCTAAAACTGATTTTCTTGAAATTAAAAAAAAAAAAGGAGATTTTGCTATAGGGTGTGTTGCACTCACTGGAACCATTATGCCATCTGCTAGTCCCAATAATTTTTTTTTTTAATTTGATGTTTTGTTTGTGCTTACCAAAGATCAAGAGAGGAAAGTGAGAAAGCAACCCCTCTCCCACTGGAGCTGGTCTCACCACAATCCCTTTAACCTCCACTTCTCCTTTTAGGATTTTGGGCATGCGTGCACATAACTGGCATGTTTCTCAAGCTACTGGGTCCAGGAATTGAACCTTGAAGTCAAGATTGAGATGTAGCTGCCTTAACCACTATAACACTGGCTAGCCCGCCACTAAGTTTTAAAACTCTTTCCAATCAAATTCCCCCTGAATTACTTCCCTATAGACTTACACTATGATCACAGATACCAAAACATAATATATTTGGTATGTATTTTACAGTTTTCAAGGAAAATTTTCATATCTGAAAATGTGTTCAACATCAAAAGTTAAATTCTAAAGGGCTTTTGTCATATTTTCTAAAGGGCTCAATAAAGGATATTATACTGTACCTTTGTGAAGATGGCCAGGGGCATGCCATACTGGTCCTCTTCCAGACCTGAAATGAGCCCTGGTATCAGGACCACTTGTCCTGTATTGGCTTGAGGTTGCACAGTAATTGGAGGACTGTCTGAGTGCACAGAATCCTTTGGAAGTAAGTTTTTACAATCTGACCCAACTTGTTCCCTTTCTTTCAAATTGGGGTCCTCTAAGATGCTAGGATCCAAGGTCTCCCAGTCGCTTTCTGAAGATTCTGGAGACGGACGAGATGGAGGTTTCAAATATTGATTGGTATCAGTGAGTTCCTGTTCTCTGCTCCTGGTAGCTTCTATGTGGAACAAAGGCTCTTCTGTTTTGATAGCAGTACCTCCTCCATGGTTTCCTGCCATGATTTTCTTGACAGTTCCCATGCTGGTATTTGAAATGTTAGAAACAGACCCAGAAACAAAATCGTCTGCAGAGGGATTACTTTCCTGAAGCCCAGTATCTTCAGACATACTCTTTCGGGGTCTATACTGAGAACTGTCATTGAGACCGTGTTCAATCATACCTAAAACATAAAGTATTAGAGAATAGCAAGGTTTATAATAAACAATACGGAAAAAAATAACACCTACAATATATTTTTTTTAAATAGTGGAAACGTCCTCTAAATATTTTAGTAAGTTATGCTTGCATATATTTTAATTAAAAAAAGAAAACCCAGACAAAATAAACCTCTTTTCAAAAATCCTATTAAAATAGAAATGCTAATCATCAAGAGCTTATCCCTAAAAACTCTTATTAAAAGTTCAAGGTCCAGTACTAGTTAAATAAAAGAAAGTGTATTGTTGTCTTACCAGGAAAAAGGGATAATACAGTCATCAGTGCGCCCACCAATTTATTCACTGGAGAAATATAAAAAAGAACCTGAAATGGATCCAATCAAAATTAAGTTAGAAAATCCATGAGATCATAGTGATACTAAGAAAATAGGGAAAGGGAAAGTTCTTTTTTTTTTTACATAAGATTAACAGTGTGTAAATGTATGTATAAGGGAACCAGCAGTTAGCGTAATGACTATGTGGCTAGACTCCCACATGGTCGACCGCGGTTCGTGTCCCGTACCCGGTGGCTTAAAACTCACACCGGGTGCGTGTGCGTGCGTGCCCAAGATCCTGAGAGGAGAATGGAGGAGAAGGGACTGCGGCGTGACCATCCCCCCTGGGGGGTGATTTCTCGCTTTCTGTCTCTATGTCTCTCTCTGTCTGTCTGGCGAGCGCACGCGCCATACAGTGAAAATCTCTCCAAAAAAAAAAAAAAGATAAATGTATGTATAATGATAGAAAATTATTTAGCATTCACCATGATAAAGGTCAAGAGTTCAAAGGAGAAGTTAAAATTACTATAAAATATTGTTGGGTAATTGGAGATTGAAAATGGTTCAAATTTAACATTCTACAGGTGGCAAACACCACCTTAACCAAATGATCAAACTTCACATGAACAATAAAAGAACAAATAGGTATGGGCCTCTTGAGAGCATATCCTGAGAAAGACATACCAGCACCTGTTCAGCATTATTGATAAAAAAAAAGTTTAATCTGAAACTAGTCACAAGGAAAACAGAAATCCAATCCTTAACACTAGTCTAGATTCTTTCAAAAGTACTAATATCAAAGATGCCAAATCAAACCAAAAAAAAAGAGGTTGTGGAACTATGTGAAATTAGAGACTAGCAGTACAATAAATTATCTTTGACTGGATCCCAGACTGAAAACAATAATCATCTATCAAGGACATTACGACATCTGGAAATGGACTGCATATTAGATATTGGATGTTCACTAAGTCAATGTTAAAGTATTTAGAGGTAAAGTACCATGCTGTCTACAAATTTCTTTTTTGATGTTGTTGCTTAGAGGGTGCATGTGCTCACAAGAGAAAGACAGAGATAGAGAGGAGGTGAGAGAAGAAAGTATTCCCCACGAAAATTGATCACACGGCAAACCCTTACCCATCTCCCCTTCTTTTGGTATTTTAGAAAAATATATAAATGTTTAAAGTTGGTATATACAGATTAAGGGTGTAAGGGTATTTCTTACATTATTCTGTCATTTTTTCAAAATAACAGGAAAAAAATTAAAATGATTCAGTTAAGATACTACACTAAATCTTGGGACCAGTAGGCGGCATAATGGTTATGTCACTGGACTCCCATGGAGTCAACCACAGTTGGAGTTCCAGACATGGTGTCTTAAAACTCACACCGGGTGCATGTGCATGCATGCCCAAGATCCCAAGAGGAGAATGGAGAATTCGCTGTGGCATAGCCATCCTGCCTAGGGGGTGATTTCTCGCTTTCTGTCTCTCTGTCTCTGTCTCTGTCTTACCAGTGAGTGCATGTGCCCTAAAGCAAAAATCTCTTAAAAAAAAAAAGATATTTCACTAAAATTAACAAACGCTGGCTAATATTAAATTAGTTTAAAAAAAATACACAGAAGTTTGACTAGGTTGGATTTTTTACCAAAAAACAATCATAGGTCATGTTTCAAAGAGTACCCATATAACAGTGAGAAGATGATGGTTACCAGCCCTACATTGCCTCAGGGAAGAACAGGAACTACTCTGCCATTCTTGAGGAAGCCAGATACCCAAGGATAGCTCACGCTGTAGAGCCCCACGGCACCATTCCTACAATGGCGGATCCGCACGAGACCCACCCTTGATCCAACGTTGAATGGAATCTATGATCCCTATTGTTGAAAACTTTAAACTTGTGGCCCTTCTCCCTTTACTTGCAGGTATCACATTTTCAATGGTTCCCCTGGAAGACAACTGTATATAGCAGAGATAGTGTAATGGGAGAGGGGGAAAGGGCAGAGGGTCAAAGATAGGATAAAAAACATATATGTATGTATACATTGTATGAAAGTAGAAATGGAATATTATTGATGATAACATGCTTGATTAAGTCACTATGTAGTTTGTCCTAGATGGGAAACTACATTTAGAATGTTGTGATGATGCTCAGGGAATGAGTGTTAGGTAATATAATATTAAAAAAAAAAAA